GCGTATGGGGCCGCCAACCGCCCGATGGGCCTGCTGCAACGGTCTGCTCGGTGGCATGCGTCCAGTGCAAAACAAAAACATGATGTAGACCTCCCCGGGGCTGCGCGAATCGTGTTCTGAACGAACTGACATGGCCTGGGCGGCGGCCGGCGGCCTATGCCACAAGGCATCAGGTGGCGTTCCCTATGGGGGCACGAAAGGCGCGGCGGGTGCGACGACATGGCCTGGGCGCGGCGCCAGGCCCGCGCCGCGGGGGTCGTCGATGAAAATCAAAAAATATGGAGCCGCGAACCGCGAGATGGGCGGCCTCAAATAATCTGGGCCGCGGCGTGCGGCCTGTGCTCTGCGGGATTTCGGTTGAGCTCCTCATGGGGCCACGCAACCTGCGAACGTTGATCTGGAATGGTCGGGGAGGCGGCGCGCGATCACATTGCGTCGGCAGGTTTGCGCGTGGGGCCGCGAACCGCGCGACGGGCGCGCTAGAATGGTCGCGGCACCGGCGCGCGGTTTGCACCACGGGGACTTCCGACGACAAATCGCTCGGGGACAACGAACAATGCGCGGCGCGAGCGGCGCGCTGAAATTGCCGTGGCGCGGCCACAAAACGAAGGCATACCACGCAATCTAGAAGGGGATGGATGATGAGAAAACGACGCGAGACGAACAAAAAAAAACACGAAGAGGAGGAGGAGAGGAGAGGAGAGACAAACAAAAGGGATGAGGCGAAAAGCGCCGCGAATTCAAAGCGCAGACCTGACGCGCAGGAGGGCCGGGAACAAAAACGAAACAAATCGAGGGCCACCCGCGACCAGCGCGCGCGCCGCGCGCGCGCCGGGCAAACCAGCGGCACGCCAAGCAAGCGAGGCGAAGCGGCCGCACCTGGCACAGCACACGCACGAAGCGAAAGTCACACCAACATACAAGCCGCGCCAATCAGATAGCGGGATCACCTGCAAACGCGCGCGCATGATGCTGGCACCGCCCCTCGCTGCAAGGAGCCTTCGATCCGCGACGAGCGATCGAGAGGCCTCCAAAGGCACCTCGTACTAACTGTTTCTGGATAGTGGTGTTGGTTCGGAACGGGGCCTGGCTCTGGAGGGCGAGCGCGGACACGCAATTCCCTGGCTAGCAGCGGCAGCAGTGAAAGCTGCCGAGCTCGCGCGCGCAACAGACATCGACGGCGCGTGCGGACACGTTGGCATACGCTGGTTCATTTCGCCTCTGCCAGTGCCCAACAAAGGGGCTCAACGTGCGCCCGTCCAGGGCCCGCCGCGGGCCACGGCCCTCGACGCCCTCCAAGGGCGCGGTGGGTTCGGTCCCGATTGGTTGGTAAGCATTGAGTTGTAGTGGCGGTATTTGGCCAGAAGAAAGGAAGCATGATTTCCTGAGCCCCAGTGCCAGCGCTGCCTGAGAGATGTTGTAACACCCGCGCAAAATTTGGCCATGTTCCTGAAATTCCGATAGTGACTTGTCAGGGTCCAGGCCAGTGAATGTTTAAGGCATGAAGCTGTCACCGAATTTGACGCCTGCCGAATCTTCTGGGGACGGGGGCTCATAACTCTCGATTGGTTCCTTCCCTCCTCCACCCGAAGAGCGCCTCCTCGAGCACCGCGGGCGTGGGCCCTCGGAACCCTTCCCTGGAGGTGTTCACGGGACCGACAGTGCAGGAGGTGTTTGGTCTAAGCACCCTGTGCTGCGCCGGGTGGCCTTTGCATTCGAAGGGGTGGACATCTCCGGGGATGAGTATTCCTGGGGCCATGGGGTCACGGGTGTGGTCGAAGGCAAAAGGCAAACGGTCCCGAGGTTTACAGGCCTGAGTGAGGCCGTTCGCCATGTTGCCAATAATGAAGACCTGACTCTTGGATGTGATCATATGAACCATGTGAATGCCGTCCAACAAGGAAGCCACCATACCCATAGCCTTGCCGATGCAGATCGGTGGTGGGAGTTCTGGCACCTTGTTTCTCTGCGCACGGCTGACACACACACCTTGTGCATTGCCGCTCCCACCGCGATAATGATGACACGTTTCGCAGGTTTGGGCGCACGGCAGTCGTTGATCATGTTTATCTTAATCGTGCTGCGGACTTTCTTGCTGACCAGCGCGCCGACATCTGCTCTGATCCAAGCACATATTTGCCGAGACGTGCTTACTCTTGAGGAAAAAACGGCGAAGTCTACCCTGTTGCGCACGGCTTCCCTCACAGTGGCTATTGCTTCTCGTCCGGAAGATCACTCGCGCGTTGTCGCCAAGAGCCCTGTGGGCCGTAGAAAGAAGGCTAAGCAGCGCAAGCTTGATGTCATCCGAGCCTCGTCGCACCAATGTGTTAAAGATACTGGCACTTCCTGGAGGTGCTGTGGATGGGGCCTCCATGCCCGTAGGAGATCGAGAGGTTTCCGGGACTCTGTTTTGTCGGCTTGCCCCACCCTTGTTCCCAAGCCTCCCGTCCCGCTCCCCAGGCTTGTCCCGTCTCCGGAGCCCGAGGCCCCCGTGGATGAGTAAGTTTGGCGTCGTCCGGGTTTGGGGGATCTCCTGGGCCACTCAGCGACCAGTCAACCTCCTGATTGGTTGCCCTGTGACCCTTGAGGGCCCACACAAAATCTCCCCGAAGCATTGCAGGCGCTCCAGCGAGTACGCAAGGGTAAGCCACCTCAGAAGACTGCCTCTTGTTGGGGCGAAGGTTGTGCCGTGGAGCTCTAAGTTGCAGTGGCAAAGACTGGCTAAATGATGCACGAAATGAACAAATCGTGCACCTTCTCCGGTTACTCCAAATCCACGAGTCATTGCGCGGAGGCGACAACTGCTCCTCCTCCTCCTCCTCCTCCTCCTCCTCCTCCTTCTGCTACTCCTCGTTGTCCTCGTCTTGCTCCTCGTCCTCCTCCTCCTCCTCGTCCTCCTCGCTCTCTTCCTCCTCCGCCCAAGACTACACTCCTCCCGACCCTACTCCTGCAAATCCCGCCTCTCCTCCCCACGAAAAAGAAAGAGACAAGGGGTGAGGAGGGGCAGTCGGGCCGCCTCCCCCCCATTCTTCCATCCCAGCGCTATCCCCTCCCTTCCTCTCTTGGTCGGACCCCTCCCCTCAATGCGGCCTGTTCCCTATTACCCCTGACCCTCCCTCTGTCGATGACCGCACCCTTCTGCAGCGCCTGCCGACGAGGCTCGCCCCCTGTCCCCAATGCTTGCTTTCCCACAACGCCCTTTGTGCCCCTGAGTGCCTGCTGGTTATTTTGTGTACTTCAGGTGTTCAGGTCACGATCTCATGATCCTTTGGGACTCGCTAACAACAGCTGTATTCCGCGTGGCTGATAAAGGTGGTCGTGCCCTCGACCGCACCCTCGACATCATTTCCTAAAACAGTGATTGCACGTCGGGGCCCTTGCTCTCCCACAAAAAATTGATGGATCTGCCGAGGTTTCGCCTGGTGGGCGGCCGTCGGCGCATGATCGGCGCCTCGTGCTGCTTGCATTGCAAAGCTTGAAATACGTAGCTGGCACCACTTCGCTGACACACGATAGCTCACAACACATAGCCTTAGCTGTTACTTTATAGCTTACACCACATAGCCTGCACCACACAGAGCTTGTACCTACACTACATAGCTTTCACCAGATAGCTTGCTCACATACCTCGCACCACATAGCTTGCACACTCAGGGTGCAGAACTCACTGTCTTGAAGTCCACGCTGGCAAACATCTACGTGTCTTGTGCAAGTACCTCTAAATTCAAAATTATATCCATGACTCCCTCCTGTTGCTACCCAGTGCTTCCGGGGTCATCCTGGCGTCAACTGGCGCATCCCAATGCACCCGTGTGACTTCCTTGGTCGGGTCGCCTCCCATGCGGCCTCCCGGGCCGCCTCGTCGAAGACCACCACGACGGCGGCGGCTGCGAAGGCGACGGCGACGACGACGACGACGACGACGACAAGGCGGGCACGGCGACGTTGACGACGGCGACCGCGTCGCAGCTTTCCATCTGAAGTCGCTCTTGTTGACGTGGCCCGAAAACGGCCTCCGGATGCCAAAATCTGCGAAGTACCTCAGACCAGACACTGCCAACACATTGGGACTCCAGTCTCTTGGGACGACCAGTGACGACACCCCAAGGGGCCCCAAGAGGCGCCCAAGAAGTCCCCAAGAGGCCCAAGAGAGAGTCAAGAGCACTCCCAAGAGAACCACAAGAAGGCAAATTCAAAGATTCCTTCCGAATTTCTGCATATGTTTAGACCTCATCGTCGTTGTTCCCGTTCAGGGTCGGCGGCACTTGCCGTAAGGCCTTCGCAATGCCTCGTGCTGGATACTGCCGATTCGTTGGGAGTCCAAAATCTCTTTAGCATGGGGGATGAAGGCCCTGAGAGAAACGGGTGGTGGACCCTGGTGCCTTTCCCATGACGAGCTCTTCGTGCTGAGTCGTTCTCTGACAGTCCCAGGGCCCGTGGAGGACCCCGACAGCCCGAAAACGGCGAAAAACCTGAGGACCCGTTTCCCTCAGAGTACCCGAAGTACCCGAGCCTGATCACCCCAACCTGACCCGAAGACCAACATTCAGTTTGGAGAGGGGTATGGATTTCATATGCGTTTTTGTTAATGCTCCCCGACGCCCCCACCGCACTGGGTATGGAGGGAAGACTGGGACTTCGGGCTGGGTTGAGGTGGTTTGGTGGGTGGTGGCCCTCGCAGTACCTCCCCTGAGATCCGACGTATCCAAAAAAATGCAACATCGTTAGATAATCACGCCCTGAGCCCTAGACCTCATCTTTCTGCACCATTTTTCGAGCCAGAACGATATGTGAGGGCCCCGGGGCCCGAAATTGAGCGAGAACGCCCGGCTCGAGCAAATTGAGTCGCCAGGATCTCAAGGTCGTTCTGGACCCTGCCGACTCGTTGGGCGCCCCGAATCTTTGCAGACGACCGCTTGTGACCGATGGCGGCCACGGCAGGCATGACTACGGGCAAAGACCGTGACGAGCCGGAAGCACCCCAACGCCCGGCGGCGCGCCCTCGCGGGCGGCGCGGCGAGGGGTCGTCGTCGTCGTCCAGCCCGAGGTCGAGGTCGAGCATGCCGCTGCGGGACATGGTGCCACCCTGGGGAGGACCCTGAGATCTGACGTAGCGAAAAAAAAAAAACATCGTAGAAAATCACGCCCTGAGCTCTAGACCTCATCTTTCTGCATCAGTTTTCGAGCCGGAACGATCTGTGATGGTTCCTGAGGGGACCAGCTCCGCGGGGGAACATCGAGCTGGAATCGACGATACATCTCCGATAGATCGGCGACGCGCTGGGGTGGACTGCCAGAACCTTTTCGGCGATCAATGGGCCATTGGGGTCGATGCATTCCCGCCTGAGCCTATCGCCCCCCTGACGTCGCCCCTGATAGATGCGGGCACGTCTCCGAGAATTTTGTCGATGCATGTCCTGTTCCCACTTGCTGCCGCGCCCCTCCCCCGCACGGCGGCAGCCCGGCGCCGCCCGCCGCCCGCCGCCCCCCCCCCCCCCGCGCGAGCGCCCGCTGCGGGAGCTCTCCGAGGGGCCAGCGCCTGACCCTAAAGGGGGGGGGCTGCGGCGGTCGGGCGAGGCGGCTGGAGAGGGGATGGGAGGCGTGCGCTTCCGCCCGAACTCCTCGCGCCGTGCAAGAACAAATGCAACGGCAAGCTTCTGGCGAGTTTCGACGTCCAGGGGGCCTCACTCGCGTACAGTACCGCAGAATGGCAACCAGACGCTCTTCCCCAAACGGTGCTTTCACTTACGGGCTCTTGCTGGACTTTCGTAGAAAAGGCAGATTGGATGGGTATACCGAGGTTCCGGCTGCTGCCGGGTTGGTGCTGGGTCGTGGACGCCTGTGGGCGCCTCGTGGGTGACATATAGCTTGCACAACCTAAGAGTCTCCACTCAAAAAAAGAATCCGCCACCGTGCCTCGGCACGTTGAGGCGTGGAAGAATTCTAAATGCTGCCTGGCAGAGCCTCTGTAATGTTCTAAAGGACCTCCCACCCTCCGTCCCACACAAAGTCGACTGTATCACCCCTACTCCCGAGGGTCCCTGGGCGGCCATGGCGCCTTACTGGCGCTGCAAGGCGTCCAAAACGCCAAAGATGGCCTCTAAGACAGACCCGGCAAGCCACCAAGGCCGCCAAGATGGTCTGAGAGGTCTCCGTGACGGCTCAGGGTGGCTCAAGATGGTCTCGAGACGGCCCAAGAAGCCTCAAAAACGGCCCAAGAGGGCTCGAATAGAGCCTCCAGCAAAGCCCGAAGATGCCAAGATCGTGCATGTTACATCGATGTTTGACTGATTTTCGCCTTCTCGCCGTTTCGAGCTTGCGTCGGCTCAAGACACCCCAAGAAGCATCCAATATGGCCTCAAGACGGCCTGGGAGGGTATCGAGAGATTCCCAAAGACGGTGCCAATCTGGTCAACGAGCGGCCCAAGAGGACCCCAGGTCGGCCCTAGAAGGCGCTCAGATGAACCTCAAGGATCCCAAACAGATCCCCAAGACGACCCAGAGAGCCCCCCGAAATGGATTCTGAAAGTGTCCATACGGCCCAAGAGCGCCCACAAACGGCCCAAGGAACCCCCCAGAGCCTGCGGGGCGCCTCGAAAGCCCAAAGCGCGAGATGGCCCGTGTCGGAAGCGTGCAGCAACCTGCAAGACCATTAGCTGACAAATAACTACCGCCAACGCGGCAGTGCGGGGCGCCGCGGCTCTTATTCGGAAACCGGGGCGGGCCGACAAAGAAACACGGGCCAGGCAAGGGGGCAAAAACGGGCAGCGAGGAGCCGAGGAGGGAGGAGGGCTGGCTGGTGGCCACTGTGGGCATTCTTTGAGGGCTGCAGGGACAGCACCCCGAGGGCAGCCGGGAGGTGGACCAGCCGCGGCCTGACCTCAGTCGGCTCCCACATCCGCGCACAGGGGACAACAGCTCCGGTGGAAGGAGGGGCCCCCCCACCTCCCTGGCGATCTCCAGGTGTAGCAGGGGATGGAGGGCATCCCACCTTGCACCAAGGGTTTCCCGAGTGAGCGCATGTGAGTGCGGACAGGGAGCTGTAAAAAGGATCCGCCCTGGGGTCAACCATCCAGTCCATACCGCAGTCTGCCAGCGTGGGTGGTGGAGACCATCCGGATCCGCTCCCAGCCCCCACCCCCGACCCACCTCCGCGGCCTCAGTCTTACCTGACCCCCTTGGGGCCAGGACGCACTAAGCAGCCGGAGACGGCAGGGCGAGGGCGAAGGCGGCTGAGTCTGGACGGAGGAGTGGGCGGGGAGCCCTGGAAGACGAAAGAGACAGGAGAAAGGAAGGGAGGGAGGGGGCAACAGTGGCAACAGCTTGCTTGAAAACTCGGGCTCGCAATGAAAAGCATGCGTTCACCCAGCATCTTAGTGGATATGTAGCTTATGCGCCCTCGGCTGGAGGCCCCAACCCCTCGGAACAGAATCCCCCAACCTTCGACACGAGCGGCCCTGTGATTGGTCTGGCCACCGGCCTGCTATGCAAAAAGTCTCTGAGTTGCTAGCACCTGAGAGGGAACGGGAGGAGGGAGGAGGGATGAGGGAGAAAAGGATGGCTGGCCTGGGCTGGCCTGGGCTGGCCTCGACTGGCCCGGGCTGGCCTCGGCTGGCCCGGACTGGTCGCGGCTGGCTCAGGCTGGCCTGGGCTGGTCGGGGCTGGCCTGAGCTGGCCTCGGATGGCCTCTGCTGGCCTGGGTTGGCCTGGGCTGGCCCGGTCAGGCCTGGGCAGGCCTGGGCTGGCCTGGGCTCGCTCTCTGGCCTCGCCCCAGAAGGAAAGAGCAGGGATAAGGGAGCAGGGGGCAGACGAGAAGCGAGGGGAAAGGGGGGGGGAAGGAAAAGGGGGGAAAATCGCGCGGTGGCAATAGGCGTCTTCATGCGCTGCCACGCGCAGAGATAGCCACGAGGAGGGCGATTGCCCCGGACTCAGAAGATACGAGTGCGAGGGAATGCGGATCATCCGGGGCGGCCGACAAAAGACCTCTGGAGGTCACCCGGACAAACAGGATAGCCCCCGGAAAACTGTCGGCGGGGCGCAGCCCTGGACAGAAAAGGCATACCTACTGGAGACACCGTGACCGCGGCGCGCGAACGCCCACAAGGAGACAGGGAGGGGATGGGAACAGAGGTTCGGCAAATGATACGATCGATCCAGCATAGGCGTACTTGATGCCACTGCACAGTCGGCGCGGTGAGGCAAAAAAAACGCGTTCGCTCAAAGGGGGGCTCGGGGAGATGGGAGGAAGCACGCGGGGCAGGGCACCGCAGGAGATCCGAGCGCACCAGCTCTAGCAAAGAGAAACTAGCATCACCTATCCCCAAGGTGCGAGCAGATCCCCACAAGCAAGGCAGGGCGGAGAAGACTCCCGCAGGCCTGCCAAAAAGCACCCCTGGCCCTACCCTACCAGAAGCCCAAAACGCACAAGCTTCCCCAGCTGCGCCCGGCTGTGGCGACGAGAATGCCTCCAGCAAGCTGCCGGGGGCCCCCACGAAGAAAGCAAGGCGGAAAAGACCACCAAACTAAAAAGCACCCCCGGGGACCAAGCACACCGGCTCCGCCAGCAGCGTCCAGCCGTGGCGACGAGGAAGCCCCCAGGAAACCGACAGCCAGCGCCCAAAACCGCACGCCGCCAAAGAGCCTGGCCTCAGCGTCCAGCCGCCCAAACACCTGGCGCTCCCGGGGCCCCCTGCCCACCCCCCGGGACAAACACCCCCGGAAGACACGGAAAGGGCGAGCCAGACACACCCGGGCTGCTCTCGGGGAGGCACAGCTGGAAGACGGCACCCCAGCGAACTCGAGGGGGAGGAAACACCTCACCGACTCTTCGGGAGAGCCTATGGCCTATGGTCGTGGCCCCTGCAGCAAGGAGGCCGCCCGCAACGGAAGGCGGCACAGCCGAGAAAGAGGTGACGGCTTTCGGCAGAGTGAGCGTTGACTCGGCGGGGTACGCGAAATGCGTGGAGCTCACTGGCAGCATCTGATCGTGCCTCACGCCCGCGATCCCAACCATATCTGAGTTGCAACAGCCCGCTGGGGTAGGACGCATGCCCACCAGGAGGGGTGCCGCAGTCCTTGCTGCATTGCCTATTGACGTGTCTCCTGCCTTGTGGAGGCTGCACGTGAAATACTCGAAGAGGAGGGAACTCATTCCAAATGCGAATGCGTTGACTCAGCGGGGTATAAGGACTGCGAGGACCTCATTGGCTGCATCTGGTCCTGCCCCTAGCCTGGAAAACAAACAGTATTTGAGTTGCTACCACCCGAACATGTAAAGCGCATGCCCACCATGAGAAGCGCCCGTGCCGCTGCCGAGATGTCAACTGACCTAGCCCCTGCCCCAAGAGGGCCGCACAATATGATCAGCAACGTATTCGTGAGGGAGGTGTCCCAGCGCGAACGTGTGAACGTCAGCCTGCCGGGTATACTCACAGCGTTGAGCTCGCTAGCTGAAGTTGGTATTGTCTCAAAACCGCGATGCACACGGTCCCTGATCTGCTACCGCCCGCTGGGCTAAAACACGTGCCGGCCAAGAGGAGTGCCTGTCTCTTTGGATATGTTTGTCGACGTGGCCCCTGCCAAAAGGATACTCCACAGGATGGCCGAAGTGACGCCTCCGCCCCCGTTTCCACCATCACTTCCGCCGCCACTATTCGCCTAACACGCACTCTGCCGCCGCCGTCCGCCTCCGTCTCCCCCCAAGCCGCCGACGCCACCGCCTCAACCGCAGCCGCCGCCTTCGCCCCCGCGTCCACCGTCGCCACTGCACTATCCACATCGGCTCCACATGCGGCCGGATGGGCTTAACGAGACGGCCCACAGACCTGAAAAGGATCGAGCCATCGTGGCTTGAGGCGACCTGTCGTGTGCTCCACAAGCGGAAGATGTCGGGCACCGAAGCAGGCGCGTTCCGATCGGTCTAAGAAATTATTCACTGCGTAGAGCTCCCCATGTGTGCATCTATTCGCAAGGACCTGTCCGCCGACCAGGGGGAGGAGGACGACCAAGGGGAGAGGTAGAGGGAGAGAGGACCTGTCCGCCGACCAGGGCAAGGACCTGTCCGCCGACCAAGGGGAGGGGGAGGGGGAGAGAGGACGACCAGGAAGGACAGACCGGGCCGACAGCCGGACGGACGGGGGGACGGGGCCCAAAGCGCTGCCAAGATGCCCCAAGAGGCCCCAAATCTCACCTTTTTAAGAGGCCCCCAGAACCTTCAAGCGGCCGGACATGTCACACACGACAACCTCCCGTGCCCTCTCGCACAGTGGCGGTACTGGCACGGTGGCGGTACTCACCGCAAACAACCGGATAGACGGTTCAACTTGCTGCGATGCAATGTACATCTGATTATGCCTCATCGATCGTGTTCTGTATGAATCACCGCATCCAAGCCAAGCTGGTATTGACACCCTCCTCATCCATGGCAACGAATGCCATGTGTGCGCGCGCGATCAAATCGAGAAATAACGGCCCAATAACCCCTTGAACAGGAATGTTTGCCAGCGTGGACCCTAATCAGTAAGCTATTGCACTGCTGA